CGTGGGCGGTGGCTCAGGCGGGAGTTCCCGGTGCTCTGGCACGGCCCCTCCGGTCGCCTTCCCCGCCGCCCCACGGCTCCCTCCCCCCGCAGCCGACATCTACGAGCAGACGGCGCGGGAACTGGCGCAGCAGGGCCTGGGCTGCGAGTGCCTGGGGGGCGGCCGGCTCTCCCACCGCCCCGAGGAGAGGAAGATCCACGTCTACGGGTACTCGGTGGTAAGCGGGGCGCCGGGGGGGGCGGCGGGGAGGGGAGGGCACACCCACCCGTGGACGCGGCTTGTCCCTCCCGACGGCGGCACGGGTGCCCGTGCGGGTCCCACCGCTCCTGGCCGAACTGGCACCGCATCCCCTCGGGAGCAGGAGGGCAGAGCTGGGGCTGCTCACATCCCCTCGGTGTCCCCCAGAATGCCCCGAGGAGGGTATCGGTGATGCCGGGGCAGGTTTTGCCAGCTTCGGCATGGCACCGGACCCCGGCCTGGGTGCCGTGCTGTCTGGCAGCCGGAGCCAGGCCGAGCTGCCCGTGGTCTGTGTGATCAGAGCTGATCGGTCTTTCACAGACACGGGCTCAGCGGTGTCTTCCACAGCCGGGGGCTGCTGCTGGAACCTCTGGTTGTGGTGAGCCACCCCAGGGCTTTGCTGAGCTCTCCCATAGGAGGTAACCGTGGCCTCTACTTTGGGACCCTCTCTCCTCTGCCAGGGCTTTGGGCGAGCGGACCACTCCGTGACTACAGAGAAGCTGAAAGCCGAGTATCCAGACTACGAGATCACCTGGGCAGATGAGGGCTACTGACTCGCTCTAGCCGGGCAGCGGCATTGACGCCAGCCTGGAGCTGGTGCGGCCAGATCCGGCATCGGGGTGAGGGCAGCAGGCTCCCTGTGCTCAGCAGCACTCTGGGCTCTCCTGTTTTTTCTTTGTGTTGAACTCGCCTGTTCTCCACTGTCACTGGACTTCCCACATGCCGTGGGTGATGCCCACCTCCCCAGCACAGGGCCGCAAAGCCTCGGTGAAGCCAGTGGGTGCTCTGCCCTGGCCTCCCAGGTAGCAAGGGGGTTTGTCCACGTGTGTATGTGAGAATTAAACACGTTGGGGAGCGCAGCTGCTTGCGTCGTCATGTGTTCATGGCTAAGCTTGCTCCTTACTCTGGGTCTGGGTTGTACCCCCTTACAGCAAGAGTGACTCCTTGGTTTTCCAGCCCCTCGTGGGGGGCCTGACCCCAGAGCTGGCAGGGTCTGGGGCGGGGACAGCAGAACGTGTGTCAGGATTAGCCTTGGGAAGGATTGAGGCAGGAGAGGAGAAAGCAATGGGTGCCCACGCCTGACAGAGGGAAGGGCAGGGTGGTACCAGGGGAGGGACCACCCTCATCTCCTGCTGGGAGGGAGCCGAGCTGCCCGGGAGCATGATTTGGAAGAACATGCCCCTTCTCACGCCAGCAGGTCGTCACACCTTGAGGCAGAGTATCCTTCAGCCCTCTGGACAGCCAGGACTGGCTCCTGTCCCTCAATATTTCCCAGGGAGACTTTCTGCTTGCACTTCTAGTGAGGAGCAGGGTGAGGAGACTGGGAAAAGCTGCTGGAGCCATCGGTGGCAGGAGAGCTTGAGAGAGACGTGCAGGTCACGTTGGCCGGGTGGATTGCTCTTTTGCCATTCCATACAAGGTTGGGGCTGGAGGAACCTCACCTCCCCCCTGGTCCCAGCCCCGTTTCACTTGTCAGGCTGTGATCCTGTGTGCTCCCAGCTCCTGTCTGCCCACTTTGCCTTCTGCTGCCTCCCTGCCTTCCTTTCTTGCCATCAGGGATGCGGGTTACCTAGATAGGAGATGGTTCCTCTGTGCCCAGAGCCATGCAGCGTTATCATGACCTGCTGAAGCTCAGACCCTGTGCCTGGTGTTCTGCCCCAAACTCAAAAGGTAGGTCATGATGGATGGGGAAGAGCTTCATGGGCCAGGCTGGGGGTGCAGGGCCCACTGCCCGGCTGGAGGCTCAGGGCTGGAGCTGTGTCTCCTGCAGAGGATGGTGCCCGCCAGCCTTGCAAGCTGGTGGAGGGGGAAGAAAGCTGGGGGCTGAGCCCATGTGCCCAGGACATGCACAAGGTTGCACTGGGCCCACTCGAGAAAAACAGCTCCACTGTGCCTAGACCTTATCACCTTCAAGGATTTGATCATCTCCCCCGTGCTGGGGTGAATGTCACCCAACAGTCACACATGCACTGGACACTGGTGGCTGTTAGGTGGTGGCTGAGTGCCTTGCATTGGTCGCACGGAGGAGCGCAGCTTCCCTTCAAGTCACTGAATCGCAGAGCTTGGAGACACCTCTGGAGATGTGCAGTCCATCCCCCTGCCCCAGCAGGGCCAGCTCCAGCAGGTTGCTCAGGGCTGTGCCCAGGTGGGTTTGGGGCATCTCCACAGATGCAGACCCCACAGCAGCCTGGGCACCCGGCTCTGGTTTTGACAACCCTCACAGGAAAAAAGGTTTTTCTTAAGATTAAGTGGTGGTTCATGTTCTTGCTTTGTTCTCCTTGTCTCTCATCCCTTCATGGGGCACTCGCTGCTCAGAAGAAGCTGGCTCCTTCCCTCTGCTCCTTCCTGTCAGGTCTTCATAGACATGGGTGACATCTCTGTGCCTTCTCTCCTCCAGACTGAGCAGCTCCAGCTCCCTCAGCCTTTCCTCGTGGGAAGTCCACTCCCTTCATCGTCACGGCCCCTAGCTAGATCTGTGCCAGTATGCCCATGTCTCTTGTACTGGGCGCCCAGCATCCATCCCGCTGTGTCTGCACAGTGCAGAGGGGAGGGATCAGACCTGCTGGAGATGCTCTGCCTATGGCACCCAGGAGGCCAGTGGCTGCTTTGCCGGAGGCTGTGGCACTGGCTTGTGGTCAGCTTGGTGCCTGCCAGGTTTCCAGGCAGCAGGGGAAGGGCAGGGCTCCTGCCTGCAGGTGCTGCTAGCCCCAGGGTGCCCAGGCTGGGAGGGTGCTGGGTTTCTGGCCTCCACTGGTCGTGGCACACGCTGGGGGAAGGAGCTGAACCCTGCGTTTTACTGCCCTGATGCAATCGCGCTGCAATCTGCTGTCCAAGGCCATCAGCTAGGAGGGGAGAAAACTCTGCTCAGCCTTCAGCAACAGGGGCCCAGGGGCCTGTCTCCAGGCACAGGGGCTGCTGGCGGCAGAGGCAGGAGGGCTCCCCTGGGGCAGTGCCAGCCCCCATGAGCCCTGGCAGCAGCTTACCCTGCCCAGGTGGGGAAACTTGAGGCAGGGGCAGTGGTTGCCATCACCAGGCAGCTCCAGTGGTGCCATGTGGGGCTCTGGCTGCCGAGCCATGCTCCTTCCAGGCTGTGAACAGCCCTTCCTGGGGCTCTGCTGGGGTTGTTCTGTCCCAGGAGTGACCTGGTTGTGGCCCTAGAGCTGTCCCCCTTTGCCCTGTGGCAGTTATGAGCTGGGTGCTGAGATGCTTCTGCCAGCTGGAGCAGTGCAGGCAGGGGGGAGGGCTGGCTCCTGCTGATGACACCTCTGGGTCCCCAGGGCCAGGGGCTGCCTGCTGGGGCTGGGGAAGAGGGCAAGGGCTGAAGAGAGGCTGTCGAGAGCCTGGTGAAGGAATACTGCATGGAGCCTGCCAGGCTCCGCGCTGGCCTGGGCACCCTCCCAAGGCAGCTGCTGCACAGACTGCATGTGGCAGCGGGCGCACAGGGCTGCCAAGCCGATGTGCCCAGACTGGGCAAGCTGAGAACCCCCTCCTCCCTACCATCTGCATGTCCCTGGGGACTGCCCTGCCGGGTTGCTGGGGCTGGGGTGCACTAGAGCCCCAGCTTTTGGCAAGGACAGCTCAGCTGAGTGCTGGGACAGGCTGCTCCTCCCGCCTGTCCCTGCCTCCTCTCCCAGCCTGTCCCAAGTCTCCAGAGAGCCAGAGTTTTGTTCTGAATTCAAAGCCCCAAAATTTTTATGGCTAAACCCCCAAGTCCTAAGGATCCCTGCCTGCTGCAACTCACCATTGCCTGGGTGCATCATGACCCATTTATACCTTTCCTGCCTTGGGGTCACTCCTTGCATTCCATTCCCACTGCCCCCCCAGCACAGCTGCCCTCCCTGGCCAGGGTACACCCCACTGCCAGCCTGTGCCTTGCACCCAAAGACTGTGCCCTGCAGCCAGAGGTTCTCCCACTGCTCTTTATTCTCAGGGGTGCCAGCTTCTCTCCCGGGGCTGGCAGCATTGCCAGCTCATCAGGAAGAAGTGGCCTTTTCCCTCTCCGAGCCGCTGTGTGCCACTGGGCTGTGCTAGCTGGTCCCATCCCAGTCAGAGCAGCATCCAGCATCTTGTCCTGGTTGGAAAAGGGGGGCTGAAGAAGGGGGGTTTGGTGGGGAAGAGCAGCCAAAGGTCTCCTGGGGATGCACAGCTGCCTGCTCACCACCTGTGATGCTGGCAGTGGTGCTACGCAGCAGGACCACAGGTGACCTGTCCCAGCCTGGTGAACCGCCTCACCATAAACCCTGCTGCCGGGGCTGGGAAGCAGATAACGGTGGGGCTGAAGTCCAATGGGGCAGGTCCCCGGGAGCAGATTCCAGCCCTGGGCTCACGGCGTGGCGTCCCTTGACGGCCCCGTGCCTCTCCTGGCTCCATTTTACTGTTGCTGCAGCCTGGAGGTTAAGATGGCCGGGCCGGTGGTGCTCACCCTCCTGCTGCTGCTGGGTGAGCTCTCTGCTGATACGGGGGTCACACTGTGGGGAAGGAAGGGGCTCCGTCCCTCCCCAGTGGGGGCTGCCATGGGGATTGCTGCTTCCCCCAGCTCGGGGGGGGGGGGCTGTTCTGGGGCGGGAGCTGGGGCAGGTACAGCCCAGCAAAACAGTCTTTGAGCTCCGCTAACAAAGATCAGCCCCGGATTCCCCAGGGCAAGCTAGTGCCAGAGCCACCATCGCCGATGGCTTTGCTCGGCATGGGAAGGAAAATGCCCAAACTTTCCTGTTTCCCCCAAAACAAAGGCTGAGACTCAGAGCAGGAGTGTTATATATCAGGCTGGAGGGTCAGCGCCCCAGCTCTGCCAGGCTCTGGCACCCCAAGGGTGTGCAGGAGCTGGGCTGGCAGTGGGAGATGGCAAAGCAGGAGATGTGGGAGTTGTGGGGTGTCAGGGCAGTGGTGGGGGGTCCCATGCAAGGGACAATGCCAAAGGAGGATGCCACTGAGAGCTCAGCACTTCCCCCAGCAGGGTCCCAAACCGGGGAGCCCAGACAAATGTCACCTGCAGGACATGTGTGCCCTCGGTCACCTGCCACAGGCACCGTGTCCAGATCCTCGCGGTCTTTTCAGCCCCGTTGTCTCTCCCATAGCTGGGACCATCCTCCCCAGTGGGTCCATGGTTGTCAACAGCTGCAGGAGTGCAGCTGAGCAGCTCTGCAACTTCATCTGTGACTGCAGCAACTGCTCTGATGAGAATCAGTGTGGTGGGTACCTGGCCCCCCAGCCCTGCAGCCCCACTCCCAGGCCCTGCCCCTGGGGCGAGAGCAGGTGATGGAGCTGGGGGCCTTGTGGGTGCAGGTCCCCAGGGTGGAGCCAGCCTGCCCTGACACCCCATCCACCCACCCTCAGGGTACCTGCGGGGCTCGGCGGTGCTGGGCACCCCCTTCACCTGTGATTTTGAGGAAGGTGACTGTGGCTGGCAGGATGTGAGCACCTCGGCTTACAGATGGGTGCGGGGCCGGGCCAGCCTGACCACATGGGGCACGGGGCCCCACTCAGACCACACCGTGGGCACTGACTTAGGTAAGTGGGGGCTGCTCAGCTGGTGAGTGGGGTCCAGGCACCCACAGCACCGCACCTCTGCGTCATGGGTACCCTGAAGCCAGGGTGCCAGGACACCCATCCTTGTAGAGTGCAGGGGATGGAGCAGACCCATGGTGGGGCAGGAGCGGTGCTGGCCGCAGCTCTGGTGCCATCCCATGGGGCTGCAGCCCCTGCTCTCCTCTCTGCCCTCCCCAGGGTGGTTCATGGTGACCGTGTCCCCCCCAGCAAAGACCATGGCCACAGCCTGGCTAAGGTCACCAGTGATGCAGGAAGCAGCTGCCACGTGCGAGATCAGGGCCTGGTACCACCTCTCAGGAAGCGGTGAGGGTGCCCATGGCGGGCACGGATGGGCCTCGGGGTACCAGGCACAGGGAAGTGATGATGGGGGACAGTGGGGAGGGATGGGGCCATCTGCCCCCATGGCAGGGACAGAGCCACCGGCACCTCAACATGGGTCCTTGCCATCCTGCTCGCTTCTTCCATGCTCCGCAAGCAGAGCTGGCGGGACCCAGGGGTCCCAGCTCTGGTCCCCAGAGCTGGTGGGGCACAGTTCGTCCCCATGCCCAGTGCCAAGGGCCATGTTTTGGGGCTCCCTGCAGGGCTCAACCAGACAGAGCGGCCGCTGCTGCGCTTGGCCATGGCATACAGGGATGAGGTGGTGGGGCTGTGGCAGAGCCCCGAGCGTGGAGGCGAGGGCTGGCACCAGCTGGTTGCCTACCCAGGCCGGATCGCAGAGCGGTTCCAGGTGAGACAGGGCAGTGTCGGTACCTGGGCATCATCCTCGCAAGCTGGGGCCAGAGGAGCCAGGTGATGCACCAGGAGCCGAGGATGCCCTGGCAGCTCAGGCAGATGCTCAGCTCATGCCATTCTCATCCTCTCATCGGCAGCTCATCTTCTCCCTGACACAACCGCCCACATGCGGGGCAGAGCTGGTGCTCGATGACATCATCTTCAGGAACTGTGGCTTGCAGGGTGAGTCCCGCATCTGCTGGGATGAGACGTGAGCAGGGATCCCTGGGGGAATTGGTTTGGGCTTTGCACCGCAGGGGAGCTCTCCCGCTGCCCGCTGTTTCTTGCCCTGGCCAGAGCGTGGGGCAGGCAGTGAAAGTCTGTCCCTCGAGCAACACCAGGGAAGAGTGTGAGGGGAGCCCAGCATGTGCTGGCATCCCTGTGGGGCCAGCCATTTGCTGACGGCGTGTCCCGCCACCCCAGAGCCCAGGCAGCAGGTCTGTGGGGTGGAGGAGAGCCGCTGCAGCCGGGGCTTCTGCCTGGCACAACACCGCTTCTGTGATGGCACCGATGACTGTGGAGACGGATCGGACGAGGATGCAACGTGGTGCAGTGAGCATCCCTGGCCCTGGGGAGGTGGTCCTGCCCACCAGTCTGCTGATCACACAGACAGGCTAAGGGTCTGCCCTGGTGGGGGAAAGCCAGGCCATGGGGCTGGCAGGGGTTACCCCAGCTCTGTCGCATGGCTGTGCAATTGGAGGGGCAAAATCACCCCAAGGGTTTTGCGGAGGAGTGGCATCAGCCCAGCCCATTGCAGGGACCTCCCTGTTGGGGGGAGGGCTGGGACCCCCCAGTCCCTGGGTCAATCTGCTCTGCCTCCCTCCCTGCAGAGTCCTTCAACCTCTGCTCCTTTGAGCGAAATCTCTGCAGCTGGGAGGTGGAGGTTGGGCAGCCGACGTGGGAGAGAAACACGAGCCTGAACCTGGGGACCGCATACGGTATCCCAACCCGGGACCACAGCAATAACAGCAGGGCAGGTACGTGGCTGGGCACTGGCACCCCAGAGGAGTCCCACAGCAGGTCCCTGGGATATCACTGGCCCTGGGGAAGACGTACCATCCAGCCCTGGGGCAACACGCACCTGGGCTTGGCTTAAGGCTGTGCTGGGAAAACAGTGTCTTGCACCTGCATGCCTGACCTGGCGCCACTCAGCCCCTTCCTGACATCTGCAGGTTTTTTCCTCCACGTGGGCAGCACCTCAGCCACGGGGGTCAGCAGCCCGGCCCGGCTCAGCAGTCCCACTTTCCAGGCCACCAACTCCTGCTCCGTGAGTCACAGCCAGGACCCCGTGTCACAGACCGTGTGGGCATGGTGGTGGTGGGGCACGGGGTCCCCAGCTGTGGGGACACCTGCATGGGGCTGGGGCTGCAGTTGGCCCTTTGCTGGGGATAAGCAGTGGGTTTCTGAGGGTGGTTTGCTTGCAACTGTGGTGCCTGTTGGAAGGTCTGAGCTCCTCCAGCCCCACCTTTGTAAGCATCCTGCGAGGCAGCAGCCATGCCATGGGGTGCAGGGGGGCTGCATGCTCCTGCACTGGGGCTTCAGGGCTCTCTCCCCGCCCCCATCCCCAGCTCGTGCTGTACTGCCACCTCCATGGCTCGGCCACCAGCAGCCTCAGCATCTCCTATGTGACCAACTCCACCAAGCACCTGGTGAGGGAGAGGACGGGGGACCTGGGCAGCTGCTGGGTCCGGGAAAGAGTGGACTTCAACACAACAGAGAGCTTCAAGGTGGGCTGGTGCCATGCTGGGGCAAGCTGGCCTGCCTGCGGGGCAAGGGGCACAGGGCCACCCCCAGTATGCACCCATGGGATCAGGGTTGAACTTAGAACTGGGCACCAGAGCTGAGCCTCTGGTGCTGGCAAGTGCCACCCTTGTGTCCCTGTGCCCACACTTCCAAATCCCCCTACCAGTCCACCCAGCCCAGGGACTACACCACTGGAAAGCATGGGGGTGGGGTGTCTTCAGCCATCCCACGTCACCCCATGCCTTCCCACTGTCCTGTCCCCCATGGCCACCCACACAACCCAACCCCCTGCCACCTGGCCCTGGAGGGCACCCTAACACCCCCCCCGGGCAGCCACAGGCCATGGCTGTGTGCAGGGGCAACACCATCACCCCAAGCCCACTGTGGCCCTGCCAGCCCACCCCGTGCACCCCTTCCAGCTGCAGCATTGCCCCTGCTCCTACCGAGCCCCTTCCTGGGGGAAGCGCATGTCAACCGATCACAGGAGCTGGGTTCCCCCCATCCTGCAGCTCCCCAGTGTCCCCCCTGCCCAGCACCACTGCCCGGCCCCTCCATATCGTGCAAAACCCCATGTTGATGTTGCCAGCATGGTGCTTCCCTGCAGGTGCTGATCGAGGGGGTGACCGGCAGCATGGGGACTGTGGCCATCGATGACCTGATCCTGTCTCCGGGCTGCGTACAGGAGCAAGGTGAGACAGAGGGCAGCCATCCCCTACCCCTGCTCCAGTGTGGGCAGTGGTCCCCAGGTGTCTGTGCCCATGGCACCATCCCTAAAGGACCCACCGCAGGGTCTGCCCATCCCTCTGCTCATCATGGTGACCATCCTGGGTGCAGAATGGCAAGCACTTGCCCTGGGGCCCACAACCTGGGTTGCCATTCCCTGCACCAAAACCTCCTGCCTGAGCTAAGTCACACAGGCAGTTCTCACCAACCCCCTTGGTCCCCTTTGTCTGGTGGCAGGTGGCAGGGCAGCGCAGGGATGGACTGGGGGAAATGGAAAGCCAGGGAGATGCTCAGGGACAGGGGACTGCGGCTTGAAGGGGTGATGCTGATGATGCTGCCTGGCCCTCTCACCACCACTCTCCATCCCGGGGTGTTTCGCCATCAGAGAAGCCTTTGACCACACTGCTGAACCAGGCGGGTGCCGGACCCTGCGCAGCTGAGGAGGTGGCCTGCGACAGCGGGGGCTGCATCGCCACAGAGCTGGCCTGCGACTTCGCCGAGACGTGTGCCGATGGCTCTGACGAGAAGCGCTGCGGTGAGAGCCACAGGCAGGCACCGGGCACCCCGGTAGCCAAGAGGTGGAGGGGACACAGGCATGCCTTGGCTGGCACGGCCGGGGGATGGGATGCGGGTGCCTGTGCTGCCCCCGGGAAGCACGGTGGCCCGGCAGGGCTGAGCCTGAGCTTTTGCAGGAGCAACCACCTTCGAGGCGGGGGCTGGGGGCTGGCACGATGTCAGTGTGGGGCAGCTGCGCTGGGGTGTGCAGAGGGCCACTGAGCCTGCTGATACCGTCCTTGTAGGTGAGGCTGTTCCCACCACCGAGACAATGGTCTGTGGTCCCCAGCGCCATGGGAGCTCCCAGGGTGCAGGGACCTCTGCTCCCGCCTGGCTGGGGTGGATGGGTGCCACTGCAACATGGGTGGCGGTGATGCCTGGGCAGGGTGCTGGGCTGGGGGTGCTGCCAGGGATGTGGGGCCCCTGCCCCAACCTCTCAGGGTATTTCCATGCCCAGGGGCTTTCCTGGCCCTCCAGAAAGGAGAAGGACAAATGGTGGCTGCTGCGAGGGCACGCACACCGCTGCTGGGCCCCTCTGGCCCCGCCTGTGCCATGGAGATGAGCTATCACATCCACAGCAGCCCCCAAGGTAACCCCCCTGTCCAGCCCCGGGGTGCCCTGCCTGCTCCCTGCCCCCCCCTCCCTGGACATCCCTGGGGTGCCCTGCCCGCTCCCTGCCCCACCCTGGCACAGGGCAGAGCCCCCCATGCCTGCCTGCCTTTGCTGCCTCTCCTAGCCCCACTCTGCCCCGTTACACTGTCCTGGAGCCAGGGTGTCCCTGTCCCCACCTCTGTCCCCTGTGACTGTGGGCTGCGTGGGTGCAGGGGCCACAGGGGGCTCCAGCAGGCAGCCAGGGGCTGCTGGTGTCTGCAGACCCTGCACCGCTTCTCGTGCCAGGCTTCCTCACCATCAGCGTAGTGGATCATGCCACTGGCACCACCCACCTGGCCTGGCACATGCAGGGGCACAGCGGCACAGCTGGGGGACGTGTCCATGTCCCACTGGGAGAAAGGACCCGACCGTTCCAGGTGCGCCCAGGGGCACAGGGACCAGACTGGTTGGCTGCTGGTAGGGCAGTACCAGTACTGCCAGGCACCCTGGGCTCACTGCCGCTGCCACGCTGCCCCCAGGTCGAGCTGCTGGGGTTGGTGGATCTGCAAGACTCGGCAAGCGCCGCGATCGATAACGTGACATTTGTGCAGTGCCACCTTGACATGGTGCCGCCTGGGGCCACGGGTATGGCCAGTGACGCATGGGCAGGGAGGACGGCCATGGGCAGGAGGGGACCCTGGCCCCCCTGCCCGCAGAGATGGATAATGCTCCCATGGGGGCTGCCTGGTGACTGTCACCCTGTCCCCAGCCCAGGGACAGGACCATGGTGCAGAAGCCCTAGGGCCAGGGCTGAGCATGCATCCAGTCCCAGGACACCTGCATGGGGTGAACCTGGGGAGTGGGGAAGGGGGGAAGAGGAAAAGGGACATTTGGGGGACCCATTTGCTTTTGGGGTGCCTTATCCCCACTCCCTCACTACTGTCACCTCTCTCCGGCCAGCGCTGTCCTGCAACTTCGAGAGGGGCATGTGCGGCTGGTACCAGGATCAGTCCAGTGACTTCAAATGGGTCCGTGGCACAGGGCAGGGGCAGGGCTCCGACCACACTACTGGCTTGGGTAAGGGGCTGGCTCCTCTCCTGGGGACCCTGGGCAGCCCAGGGCACCCTGCAGCCTCTTGTCCCAAGGGCTGAGATGTGCCCTGCACTCCGAGCAGCTCCACGCCCTCAGGGTGAGCTCGGCTGGGGCAGCCCGGGGGCACCAGGATCCAGGACTGGGGTGTGGGTGATGCGGGCACAGCTCGGAGCACCCATCCATGTCCGTGTCCCCTCCACCCTGGCTGTCCCCGACACTCAGGCTACTTCATGGCTGCGGACCCCACTGTGCCATGGAGCCGTGGGCAGAAGGCACAGCTTGTCACCTACCGCCAGGAGCCCATTGCCACCCCACACTGCCTCTCCTTCTGGTACCGCCTGGCCGGCCCGCAGATTGGTATGCAGCCCCATGGCATCCTCCTGGGGATGCCCCAGCTGGGCTGTGCTCCCCTGGGGACAGCGGGGTCCCCAAGGGGTGCAGGATGGCTGCCTGAGGCTACCCTCTGCCCAGGCACCCTAAACCTCAAGCTGCAGATGGAGGGAGTGGAGGAGATGGTGCTATGGACCCGACGGGGGACCCAGGGCAGTGTTTGGCACCGGGGATGGGCAACGCTGCCTGCCACGGGCCGGCGGCAATACCGGGTGAGGACCGGGTCCCCACCATGCCACCAGGCGCCGGCAGGATGCAGGGCTGACACAGCTCTCTTGGTGGCAGGTGGCCTTCGAGGCTCTGCGGGATGGGTTCCTGGGGGACATGGCGCTGGACGACCTGGCACTGACAGCGGGGCCCTGCGGGGCTGAGCTCTCCTGCTCCTTCGAGGCGGATGCCTGCGGGCTGGTAGCCAGTGGGCAGCGCACCTGGCTGCGGCAGAGCAACGGCACTGGCACCACTGCTGGCCCCCAGGCTGACCACACCACTGGCACTGCCACAGGTACCAGGACCATGGCTTCCTGGGGCTCCGGGGGAGCCCTGCTGCCTGCCCTGAGTGTCCTGCCTGCCCTAAGTGGCATTCCAGTCCTCCATGCCAGCCCTGCCTACCTGCCCACCCTATATCCTGCTTGCCTGCCCTGCCCTGCCCATCTGCCTTGAGTCCTGCCTGCCCTGCCCAGGATGTGCAGAGGGCACTACTGGACTGGACATGGCTCCCCAACCCTGGGGCTTCCCCAAACCCAGAGTTTCCAAGCCCCAGGACTCCCCAACCTGGGGGAGATCCCTAGCCCCCGTGGTCCCCTGGTGCTCCCCCCAGCAGGGCTGGGCAGGGGTCACGGCACAGGGGCTTCTCTCCCCCAGGCCATTATATGGTGGTGAGCACGGGCAGGGACTCCCTGCCTGCAGGGCACGCAGCTGCCCTCACCTCCCAGCCCTACCAGCCCTCTGCGCCTGCCCAGTGCCTGGCCTTCTGGTACCAGCTGAGCGCCAGGACCCCAGGTGAGCACTGCGACCCTCCCTGAGGCCCATAGCGGCACCTTTGGATGGGTGTGTGTGTGTGTCCCGCATGGCACGGCCCTGGACCCCTGCTCCATGGTGGGTGCCCTGGGCAGGCTTCCTTGGGGTCTTTGTGGAGCAGAGCGGGGTGCGGAGGAAGGTAATGGGCATAAGCACCATGGAGGGGGATGCCTGGCATCGCGGCCACATCACCGTCCGGCCAGATGGGGACTGGCAGGTAAGATGGAGCCGGGTGCCGGGGACCTCTTGGCCAGGAAGGGGACAGGCTGCGGCTGATGAGGGGTGCACGGCAGCTGCCAACCTCAGTGTGCCACCCTGCCCACCTCCGGCAGGCAATATTCGAAGCGGTGGGAGCTGGGGGCAACCACGGGTACATCGCGCTGGATGACCTGCATGTGTCGGATGGAGCCTGCCCTGAGCCAGGTGAGAGCCTGTGCCGTGGGGGCACTGCGGACTGGACAGAGCGGGACAGGGCACCCCATGGGGGCACGCAGCTGTGGGGATGGGGACAGTCTGTCCCATCCATCATGGCTTTGCCATGGCCACTGGGCACCCTACTCCTGCCCTGAGCTTGGCGTGGCCCAAAGCTGGGGGTGGTGGGGAGGGGACTGGGGGCTTCCCCCCCACCCCAGATGCCCCATCTCCCACCAGGCTGCACAGAGCAGCGGATGCCTGCAGTACTGGGTGCGTCACAGTCCCCCCCCCTTCCTCCCAGCGTCCTGTGACTTTGAGCGGGACATGTGCGGCTGGAGCAGCCCCTCAGACCCCCGCCTGCACAGCTTCGCCTGGGGCTGGAAGAGTGGGGTCCCCCTTGCCAAGTACCCCGGCCCTGAGCAGGATCACACCCTGGGCACAAGGAACGGTAGGAAACACCCATTGCTCCCAGGGCACCCTGGCATGGCCAGAGTGAGGAAGAGGAGCTGAGGATGGATGGGGGGACATTCATGGGTGACATCCCAGGGGGGGCCTGGCTCCACAGCATCCCTGTCCCCTCCTCACCTGAGAGGGACCACTCGGTCCCAAAAGCAGTGAGGAGCGGGGCTGGGGGCGGGGGGGGGCGCAATCCTCCAGGCACTGCTCTGGGCATTTTGTGGGGGGGAGCAGGACGCACAGGGTGGGCTGCACAACTGGGGACACCCTGCACTCTGTCCCTGCCTATCCAGGTCACTACGTGCACTTTGACACCAGTGTGCTGGGCCCAGGGGGCACCACTGCCCGGCTGGAGAGCCAGCATCTGCCTGCTACTGCCGACTCCTGCCTGCAGTTCTGGTACCACATGGACATCCCAGAGCACCTCTGTAAGCGCTGCAGGGGCAGGGAGGAGGTGCTGTCCCTGGGGAGGTGTCATGAGCCCATGATAGGAGCGGGGGGCTCAGTCAGGGGCTGAAAACCTCCTCCCCACCAGTGGGACCATGGACACTCTGGCCAGGCAGTGGGGATGGCCCATTCCTGCTGGGTGCTGCCATCCCAGCAGAGGATGGCATGTCTGGGAGGGCTTGGAGGTTCTTGGGGGGCCTCCAGACAGCCGTTGATGTCAGGGTGCCTGTTCCCCACCATGTTGCAGCCTGTGGGGAGCTGCGGGTGATGCTGCACAGTGTGGCGGGGCAACGCACAGTGTGGACCATGGTGGGGCACCGGAGCCAGGGCTGGCGGGGCGGTGTGGTGCCTGTGCGGAGCCCCAGCGAGTTCCAGGTGAGCGAGGCCACCCTGGGGTGCAGGGTACCCTCCGGGGGTGCAGGGTGCCCTCCCCATGCGTCACCCCCCCGAGATCCCATCTTCCCCTGCAGATCATCTTTGAGGTCACCACACGGAGGTGGCCGATGGAGGGGACGGTGGCACTGGACGACGTTGTGTACAGTGCCGGGAGGGGCTGCCATTCCAGCCAGGAGGTGCCAGTGGAAGGTGCGGGGCAGGTTCTGGCTGTCAAAAGTTGACCCAGCGCCAGTCGGGGTGCTGGCGCTGAGGCTGGGGCTGGAGCCAGCTCTCCTGGGCAGGGGGTTGAGCCTGGCAGCGTCTCCTCTCCCTGCAGAGAAATCCTCTGGCAGCTTTGTGGCAGAGGTGGTGCTCGGTCTTCTCCTGGCTGTCATCACCCTGGCGCTGGTGGCTGCCGGAGGCTGGTACTGGCTGAAGCGGCGAGGGCTGGTGAGCGGGACGCCAGCGGAGAGCAACACTCCGCAGGGCTTCGACAACATCACTTTTCGAGATGTAAGGACAGGGGTGAAGGGCTTTCCTGCTTGCCCCCAACCGCGCCAAAACAGCATTTTCCTGAAGGTTCAGCAAATCCCAGTGGGCTCCTCCTGAGCCTGCACTCTGCCAACACATCAGGGAGGTGCAAAGGTCTTTGCCTCTTATCTGGTTGCTGGCAAATGAGTGACCCTGGACAGTAGGACTGACCTAGAAATGCTGCTGCTGCTGTCAGGCAGTTGCTCCAGAAAGAGCTGAGGCTGCGATCCTCCTCCGCAGAGCCCTGCAGGGAGCGGGTTGTGCAAACATTGCTCATCCTCTTCAAGCCACCAACTCAAAACCATGACAGGCAGCTTAACCTACAGTTTCCTTTGATGGGTTTGGTGCCACATAGTCCCCAGCAGAGCCACTGGCCCCAGGACTGACCCCAAAAGAGGATGTGGGGCCCCCTGGGTATGCTGAGGGGTTTGGTTCTTCTGCTGGGGTCACGGTGGGCTGGAACACACGTTCTCCCCTCTGCAGCCTGGAAGAAGTCCTTGTATTTCAAATTAGACACAGCCTACACTTATTGTAACCGATTCCCATTCACCTTTCTTTACAGGACAAGGTCATTATATCTCCAGTGCCAAAAGAAGGGGATGAGAATTGAAATAATAAGCCAACAGCAGTAATTGCCTCCCCACGCCTGCGAGGCATATGCAGGGCAGAGCATCCCTCCAGCAAGACCTCACACTCCAGCAGCCGGCTCCGGCCCTCAGCATATGACATCAGGGAGCTGCCACGGGGGCTCACCCTGGGGCGCCAGCCCTTCAGAGGGACGTGCTGCTGCCTCCACTACCTCCAAGCGCTTGGGAAAAGCAATTTTGTCTTTTGTAACATGAACTTTCTGCACCAAGATGTAGTGACATGCCCGTGCTTTGACAGGTGCTGTCAGCAGGAGTTTCTTGCAGCGGCCATCCTCATCCGAACAGGGTCCTGAATGTGGAAGGGGGCAAAGCATGCAGTCCTGGCCCCTCCCCGGCTGGGCAGATCCATGGTTGCTGCATGGGGCATGAGCCCCTTCCCACATCCAGGATTAAGCACAAGAGCTCCCAGGACACAGAGCCACCATGGGGATGAAGCCCAGTGCTTCTGGCTGGTTTTAGCAGGGGGGTGGGGG